GCACATTTTTTGGGGTGAGATGGAGGCGGTTTTTCCCGACGGTGCGCGCGGACGGTTTCGAGGACGGCCTGGGAGGAGATTTGCTCTCCCTCCGGGGAATCCAAATTTACCCCTCAATTTTTGCTCTCCCCGCGCCGTTCCTTTTCACTGCCCCCATCTTGCGACGGATTACGAGGATGACGGCGAACAAACTGATGGATGGCGATAGTGGCCGGCAAATGTTATGATCGACCTTCTTGGGGCGGCGGTGAACGAAAAAACGCGGCACACCAGTCATAACAATCACACCAAACACGGCGGGTACACATAGAACACACAGAGAAAAATAGCAACGCGACTCAAGACCTCGTCACGTTTCCAACAACACAACAAGCAAACGCCAACACATTGCGATTCCTCGATCTGCGGAACTGTCTTGGGAGGCCCCACGGGGCCATATTTGGCCGTCTAAGGTGATCGCGGTTTTCAACTACTGTGCGTTAACAGACGCCTGCCATCGCACAACCTCCCCGCATGTCGCCGCGCATTGTGTGGGCACCGCGCTTTTCCCCGACGCGGGGCGCGCGGCGAATCAAAATCCGCCCAGCAAAAAAACAAAATTGCGAAGCATGATATTTTTGCTTTCCTGCGTTTTTGCTCGTCAGTGGTTCCCAACCATTGAGATATTCAGCTCACCCTTGCCAGAGGCCCCATCTAAGCATTTACGGTATTACGCGTCTTGGCATTCTCATGAGGCAACCCATTCTCAGAGGCATTCGCACGAGGCATTCTCATGACGCGTCTTCGACGTCATTTTTCGTACAGCGCAGGGATGGCCTGGAACATGTGGTGAGAAATCTGCGTGAAATGGATGGGCCAGCGTCTCGGTGCATCCTTGCACCCGGTGCCTGGTTTCTACATGCGAGAGACCTCTAATGCTGGGTCAAAACTCTCACGCCCTTCTACCTTTCGCAGGACTGCGAAAGCGTCGGGGGGCAGCTCGAAATTAACATCGCGCTCCTCCTTATCCGCGGCATCCGACAGTTCCCGGTAGCTGACTCACGTTAAGAGAAAGTCTCCTTGACGCCCCACGCGTCGATCGTCCATCAACGGCAGGCGGCCTCGGAGACAATCACACGCTGGGAGAATCGGCGTGAGGTGCCCGCGCATGTGGCGATGACATCGGCAACGTCGCCCTTGTGCAGATGATCTGCACCTTCTGCGCCGGGTCTGTCTTCCTCCGTGTCCACTTCCACCTGCCTACCCATCCACAGTCAACGATGTCGCGTGCTCCTCGGCGCGGGCGCCGCAAGAAGCAGTTGTGACCAACCCATACTTCGAATTCCCCGACTACCGCGGCCGCGACTGCTGCAGCGTACTCTCGGAAGTCCTCTGAAGTGAATAGGTCGGCATCACGTTCGACCACAGTCTTCTTCCTTGGTCCCTACCACGTAGACCTGGAGGCGCGCAGACTGTCCGTCTAGGACTGGATGATCTCAGATAAATGTGCGCATCGTCTAGTACCAACGGCATGTCCACATAGGCGCTGCCATTATCATCGACATCCGTGGCCTCCGCTGTGGAGCGAGGTGCAGAATCAACTGTGAGGCAGCCATGAAGCTGACGGACCACAGTAGAAATGGCTCGCAACAGTGGACCCAAATATTTCCCTATACTTAGCCGACCCCGCTGATAGCACATCCTGCATGACCCTCTGTTGGTCGTGCGCTAGGAAGGCCCACCACGCGGTGTCGATCAAGCGTTGGTCGCTCAAGGAGCCCCTGTGGGACCCCTCGACGACGGTAGACAGCCACCCATCGCCATGGGTCGAGTCGCCCGGGCGCGCGCCAGCTTCCTAAGGATCTGCCCTGCCTCCTCATCCGAGGTCTGCCACTTGGAGCCCATCCTCCATGACATCTCCGAAGCAGCAGCAAGCTACCTCACCGAGCATGACCAAGATACCAGATATTGCCGCGGTCGGGGCCGTGGAGCTCGACGAGGCTCCACCCGCCAGCCTCGATGCTGCAACAGGTCTCCACTTCGCGGCGGCCCGGCCCCCACCGGACCAGGAGCAATCGATCGCGACTTTCTTCGGTCACGGCACGGCCCAGGCTGCGGCCTACTTGGACGGCCGCAATACTGCCGAGGTTGAAGACGCCACTGGGCAGGCACTCGGGGCCCGGCGCCACCGGACGGCGGGTCGCGGCGAAGGCGGTGACCGCGCGGGCGTCGGCAAGGCCGAAGCCTTGGAGACTCTTCGAAGATAGGTTCACAGCATTCGGCTCCGCCGCCATCAATGCCTGACCCTGGGGCGTCACAGGTTGACACGCAACGACGTATACCAGCCCGCCGACGTCCATAAATCGTCGCACATCTCCGCGGCGACACAACTGTTCGGCACCTCAATAGATGACGGCCACGTGGCGCTACGGCGCCCTGGGCCGTTCCGCCCGCTCACATTCTTGGTGGGTGAAGCTCGGCAGAAGTCAACAAGGTCGCCTAGGTTGCCTTTCAGGGTTTG